CCTGGAGGTTGTGTTCTTTTGCAGGAAAAAATTAATGCTTTCTGAATTAGGGTCATGATCAAATTGTAATGCTTTTTAAATCTTGCTTGAGTCAATACCTACTAGACTGCAGTACTCTAAACCTTCATTTGTGTAATTTAAAGTACCACATGGGTTGACACACTGAATCAAAACATTGATATGAGGAGAAATGTACAGCTTTCACACACATACAATGCCACCTGACATAACTCTCATGTTGTTTAATTCTTTCTTGCATTCAAGAAAGACCTCAAACAGTTGCGGTCTTTCTTGAATGCAAGGTACATTTGGGGTGGTATGCGCGCACAAATTAACCGATCCGCTGTACAAAAACCACTAAAAGATCCCGCCACATATCATTTTGGGGTGCAATAAGACACCACATGCACGTCTTTGTACCAGATCTCTTGATTCTACAAATGCTATGTGATCTGCTCTGTGATCTTTGAGAGTGACATCATAATGAAATGGCTACAACCCTGCTTCTTAAACAAACTGACATAATGTGCTTTAAGTGACACAAATAGTAATACTGGGAAAATGTCGGTAGCTGTGATCATGTGCTTGTCCAGACCTGCTGTGAAAACATCCATTCTACACTCATCATAATGTAAGTAAGCAGGGGGCTTCTTTCGTCCTAAATTGTTTAGTTAGTAGGGAAGTTACGTTTGTGTCGAGGCCTTTGTCGTTCTTCAGAATGTCATTTAACCAAATACAACCGAAGCCCCCTTTCTCTTAAACAACGTTACTCCCTCGTTATGTGATTCAAGCTTTTGAAAACACATTACAGAATTCCAGGCAGTGTTTTACGTGATCTGGGTCTGAGGTGATTCCGAGGAGAATGCAAGCACATTATGGAGCCACTAAAAATGTTAAAATTATCAGCATTTTGTGAGCATGTGACATATTCGCAAAACAATCGCAGAGTGGATGGTCGTTTCATAAACACACACACACACACAGACACACACACTGGACCTCATACAGGTATTCTGCAATTGATACATGATTACGTTCACATACTCACTGATATATCACAGCAGGGCTGTTGTAGAGTGAATGACCAGCAGATGTCAGTATTTCCAAATGAGCTGTTGAATGGGGCTTTGTGTGATCTGTGTTTTGGCGAAGCAATTGGCCGGACAGATTCGACATATTCACAGGGTTTTATCACAGCATCACTAGTACTGTAGTTAGTGTAATGACACCCGATTACAGAAAAAGCAATGTGAATAAATGTGAAACACATAGTCACATCAGACTACAGCAAAACAAATGCAAAAACAAAACAAAACAAAAGATCATGTGAATGTTTCCACGATGAAAAGAAGAAAAGCTTGTTCAGTGATCACTCGGGAGATCCGGGAGTGCTTTACTACTATTGTTTAGTTCATAAGCAGATTTGATAAATCAAACTTTGTTTCATTTTTTCTCTCTAGGAGTTTATTCATCTCATATACCTGTTTTTAAGAAACTCTCAGGTAGCTTTGGGTTTATGTCCAGGCTCAGTGGGCTTTATAAAAGATCCTTTTCTTGTATTTTAAGTGATTACAATATTGGACAAGAAGACATCCCAGCTAGTCCAGACATGACTGTGCTTCTTTAGATGATCCATCACATGAAAAAGCTCTGGCCTCTGATTTTAATACCAGGTACTCTGAGATGCTTTTGCTAAAGTGATATTGTGATGGTTATTTTTCATTTTTATTTCATCCAGCCAAAGGACTGATGTTCTCCATGGTATAGGACAAAGGATGAGCTTAAGCCAGAGGTATACATTGTCCGTCCATCCTTTCATAATCAATAATCGCTACTCCTCCTACAGTATTTGTCATTTTTTAACTAAATATGCACACAATGAGATCCTAATTAGTCCTTACCCAAAAAGGTCAAAGTCATAGTCACATTTGCTGTTTTCTGTGCTTGAAGACCAAAGTCAGGATAGTACTTAATCAGGGAGATGCTCTTTACCCTCGTAGCCCACACTGAGGCTATCCTCCAGAGACTGACAAGCATCCTCTAATCTTTGTGTAAGTAGTTTGGGCTCATTGTCAGCCAGAAAAAAGATGAACATCTGTGCATAAGATGGCCTCACCCCTCCCTCCATCACTATGAATATCTGCACCCGTGCAGTTAAAATAACTTCCCTGGGTTCTACCATCAACACTACCCTCTCACTCAATATGGAACTCAGTTGATGACTCAGGAAGGTAAACACTATCGTGGCCTTATTGTCCTGCAGGGTGTGTAAAAATAAAGTGCTGACTGACCACACAAAGATCAAAGTGTAGCAGCCCTGTGTCAACAGCCCCTTACTGTATGGACGTGAAACCTGGATCACCTAAATGAGGCGGCTCAACTCGTTCAACACGCGGTGCCTCAGAAGCGTCTTTGGATTCAGATGGCAGGACTGCTTTCCAACCACTGGCACACCAACCATCTGTGCTCGGTGGCTTGTAGCTATGATATTGGCATGACATGACGAGGGCCAAAGTATTGAAGATTGTGATATTTAAAATACCACAGGTTCAAATTCAAGATTTGTTTTTTTCTTTGTGCAAGTTTTTTTTTTAAGTGGAAGGCTCACATATTTTCTATCATGACATATCATACATTGGTTTTATGGAAAATTTTAGAAAAAGGGAAATGAATACTGTGGAACAGATGTGATGACTTTGTGGAAATCCATTAAAAAACTGTCTGTTAATCACACCATCATACTGGCTGTCACACCGCCCGTTGTAGTAAGAGGGCCAAGCCATGAACAAGGGAGGGCAAAGGACTTTTCTAGAATTCATTATCCAGAGACCAGATGTCCCCTGCTAGGGAGTTGGCACAGGCCTGAATGGTCCAGGTCGCCTGGGCAAGCTGGTTGCGGAATAGCTCGGCGTTGGCCTCTGGGCTGGCAGACTTCAGAGCGTCGAGGTGGCTGGACAGGCCTTTGAGGGTGTGGGGGCCGGAGCCCAGCAGGATGTGGCGAAAGGGGCTGTCTATCGGAGAAACGTAGGGTGACAGGAAGTTCCTTTCCACCTATAGTAACAGGAGGAGGAACAGGGAGGAGTTTGTTAAAAGTGTTCTGAGTCACCAGACTTTTCTGTCATATAAAAGGAGGCAATTAGCAGCTAAAAAGAAAACTACCTTGAATACTATTGCACTTTACAGTAGATAAAAAGTAATGGAGTAAAATAAAATATGACGTATTCCATTTTAAATTTGACACAAAAGTAACTAAACCACACTAAAATATATAAAATCCTTTGGCCAAAAGCTCAGATAGCAGCTTAGCTTTAGCTTTATTGTTGTCTCCACTTTATAAGCCAACACCTCATTAGCTGTGTGGATTCACCAGTTGAATTAATAATTATCAGTTTAAATGAAGGAATGTTGCGCATTCCATGAGGTATTTCGATTACAGTGTTTTATTTATGTATTTAATTAAAGAAGGCTAATGTTTAGAGTGCAGGACACTATGTCTGTCTACTGAGAATTGCTAAGATATATCCATATTTTCCACAGAGTATCTCAGGAAGAATTACTGAGTGTTGGAAGCCTTACCGTCATGATGCGGTCATTGATCATGCGGCACATCTCCGTGTTTTCCAGGTCGCTGTTTTGGATGTCAGCTGTCAATATGCTAGAGACACGGTTGTAGGAGCCAGAGGCCATGACCAACCACTGCCCAGTCAGGGTCTTGGGCAACAGCTGGGGCTGCAACTGGAAGCAGACAAATATGCAGGAGTGATTTAGTTTTCATAATAAACTCAATTTGGTAACTGGACGTGCAAGATTTGACCAGAGTCTGGGCAAAAGAGTAAGAGAGGTGACGTTACTCTACATCTCTTCAACTTGCTTTCAACTAGATAAATAGATTTCATTTAACTAAATATAACATTTCTTTTTTATGTAGTTGTTAATGAGTCCTTAATTAATAAAATAAAAAATGTAGTTTCAAAATAATCTTCTTTTACTCTAATTAAGTCTTGGATTAATTGTTTACGCTTTGCCCGATTCTGCTCAGAGCCCAAAGCGAACTCAGCATATCCAGGCTAAGACTGAAGACTATAAGACTGAAAACAGCTACAAAATAAATAAAGTTTAGTCTATTTGAAGTCAGAAAAGAAAGGCCGGCAAAATGCCAACTGTGTGACTTAGACCTAATATCTCAACTCTTAATCTCTCAGACTCACTATCACATCTCTATCATCCAACCTTCCTTTATCTCAAAGGTTCTTGAAAGAGTACTGGTAAAACAGCTAAGTGATCATCTCCAGAGGAATTGTTTATTTGAAGAGTTTCAGTCAGGTTTCAGAATTCACAGCACAGAAACAGCTTTAGTGAAGGGTACGAATGATCTTCTTATGCCCTTTATTGCAGCCATTAGAGCATGCTGTAAGTGTGCTGCATTAATTTGAATCATATCCATCTAATACAGTACAATTTGTTCATGTAAATGGGAAGTCTTATTTCACACACCAAGGTTAATTATGGAGTTCCACAGGTTTCTGTGTCAGGACCAATTCTGTTTACATAACAAATGCTTACATAAGTCCTGCAACAGACTCTTGACCTGGTCAAGGTATACTTCCCCATGGTAGCTGGGATATGCCATTAGGATAGATGGCTTAACTTGTCCTCCAGTAACACTGTGAGGAATCTTGAAGTCATTTTTGACCAGAAAATGTCCTGCAGTGTGTATATTGAACAAATATGTAGGATTGCTTTCTTGCATTTGTGCAATATCTCTAAAATTAGAAACATCGTTCTCAAAGTAATGTTGATATACTAGTTCATACATTTAGTACTTCTAGGTTGGACTACTGGAATTAAGCCTTCAGTTGATCCAAAATGCTGCAGCCAGAGTACTGACAGGGATTAGAGAGAGAAAGCATATTTCTGATCATGGTTATGCAAGAGGTTTCTATTGTTAAAAGGGAGTTCTTCCTTCCCACTGTCGCCAAGTGCTATCTAATAGGTGGTCGTCTAACTGTTGGGGTTTTCTCTGCATTATTGTAAGATCTTTACCTTACAATATAAATTGCCTTGAGGCGACGGTTGTTGTGACACTGATTTGACACTATATAACTAACAATGAAAGAGAAGTGAAACTTCTTTGTAATACAGAAACCTTTTAGTTACCTGGATAGGAAGAATTCCAGCTTTGAAGTACAGGCCTGTAATCAGATAGTTGTTGTGTTTCTGGCATTCCAATTACATGTTGTCAACAGCGAAGTCTCAGAATGACCTCTGGTGGACAAACTATGTAACATCAACACTCATAACATGGTTGAAGTGTGTTTCTCTCTTCCCTGTTTCTTTTTTTTAAAAAAAACTTGTTGTATTGGCATCATTGTATCAGTGTCAATACTGATATATCAGCAATGGTCAAGTTGTTCCTGATTTCTACAGCCCTGCTCTCAACAAGGTAAATACTATCTTGATTTACAAGGACACTGGTGAGCACTCACCCTCTGAACAGCCTTGACCTTCCCATTAATCTGA